ATATCATGCTGTCGTTTTTTCCCCTTTGTTAAGGAATATTTAAGAAAATATTCATATATGATGTACTACATTTGGCATCCAATGTCCTAAACTTTTCACTTTTTGAACTTCTCTGTGAGAATCAATAAAAAGGATCTATATATATGATATACAAGGATTTGTATAGTGACACTATACAAATCCTTGCTATATATATAAACTGTTATTTTTCTCCATTTTTGAAGCATATGATAAAAAGATCATAACATGTCATTCTTCACATCAGATGTATTATCAGCCCTCGAACCTTGGGCTGATAATACATCTGATATGAAAAATGCCATGTTATAATCTGATATAATTTATAAGATATCTTATATAGAAAATTATATGAGATATCTTATAAACTATGTATTATATCTCATAATAAACTATATAAATAAGATATCTTTTAAACTATTTAAGATATCTCATAAACTATATAAGATATATCTCATAAAACTGTATAAGATATTTCATAAACTATATAAAATATTTTATAAATAAAGGCAACAGTAGTATATCGCTGTTCTAAATTCATAAATCAATTGAGAAAAAACAAATCCGGGTTTCAAACTAAAACTGAGGGAAACACATCAAATATATAAGAGGAGAACTACGACACAACAGAAACCCAACACTTAAAAATGTAACACACACAAAAACGAACTATAATCGTGATAATATATAACAATGGCCATTTTCCTGACTTGGTACAGGACATTTTAAGAAAAAAATTTGTAAGGGTTCCGCGGAACCCAGTGTCTCGCCTACTTTTGCTGTTAATTGCAGGTTCAACAAAAATGAGGAAAAAAAGAAATAAAAATATTCCTCTCTATACTATCTTTTGATTGTAAGTAGCGTCTGTCCAAGTTTGGTAAAAATCCAGGATAGTTTATGAATCAAATAAATGTTTTAAAAACTTAAACTGCAGACTGTATGTTATGTTAACTGGAAGAAAAACTAAGTCCATTTATAAGTAAAATAAAGAAAAAATGGAACAAATTTTTACAAAATTTCCTTTTAGATACTAGCTTTTAATCATAAACAAACTTCTGTCCAAGTTTGGTACAAATCCAGGATAGTGTAAGAAAGTTGTTAAAACTTTAAAAACTTTAACCACAGAGTGAATGTAATGTTAACTGGCAGAAAAACTAAGTCCATTTATAAGTAAAATACGGAAAAAATGGATTTTTTTTTTACAAAATTTACTTCTGGATACTATCTTATGATCATAAACAAGCTTCTTTCCAAGTTTAGTAGAAATCCAGGATAGTTTAAGAAAGTTGTTAAAATTTCAAAAACTTTAACCACAGAGTGAATGTAATGTTTCCTGGCAGAAAAACTAAGTCCATTTATAAGTAAAATACGGAAAAAACGGATTTTTTTTTTACAAAATTTACTTCTGGATACTATCTTATGATCATAAACAAGCTTCAGTCCAAGTTTGGTAGAAATCCAGGATAGTTTAAGAAAGTTATTAAAATTTCAAAAACTTTAACCACAGAGTGAATATTTGTGGACGCCGTCGACGACGCCGACGGAATGTAGGATCGCTATGTCTCGCTTTTTCGACAAAAGTCGAAGGCTCGACAAAAATGGTGGGTTGAACCTGGTTTTGTGGCTCGCACTTTTATGGCAATGTTAAATTTAACACTAAAATGACACCACTATATGACGGGAATACAGTACAAATAAATGCAAGAACATTCAGGATAGAGAATTACACTAATAAACAATACAATATAGTACATTTCGGAAACGAAACAACAGAAACGAGAATTGAACAAAATACAATACAACACACACAGAAACAAACTACACGATAACAATTGCCATTTTCCTGACTTGGTCATGTTGGTACAGGACATTTTTTTTGAAAAAATCATGAAAATGGTGGGTTTAACCTGGTTTTGTGGCTAGCCAAACCTCCTGCTTTTATGGCAATGTTAAATATAACATCATAATGACAACATTACATGACAGGACTACAATACAAATAAATGGGAGAACATATATAGGACAGAGAAACACACAAATAATAGCTATCAAAAGGTACCAGGTTTATAATTTAATACGCCAGATGCGCGTTTTGTCTACACAAGACTAATCAGTGACGCTCAGATCAAATTAGTTTGAAAGCCAAAACAAGTACAAAGTTGAAGAGCATTGAGGACCAAAAGTTCCAAAAAGTTGTGCCTAATACGGCTAAGGTTTTCTGCCTGGGATAAGAACATCCTTAGTATTTAGAATAATTCATACTTTTGCAAACAGTAAATTTTATAAAAATGACTATATTATATAATAGATATACATGATAACACCGAAGTGGTGACTAACTACAGAATAAAAACAAATACATAAAACAATCTAAACCATGCAGCACATAAAATTATAAAATATATAATATATCTTATAAACTATATAAGATATTTTATACAGTTTATGAGATATCTAGAAGTTAGATTAAATAGTGAAGCAGCTTGCCATATAAGATTGTCAAATGATCAAAATTACAGTCCTAGATCATCAAATACCGGTAATCATGAAATATTTTTGGGTATGGTAATCAAATAATCACCAAGTAATCACATAAACAAAAACCCCATGAGGAAGCTCATGTTTCCTACCCTGATTGATGCATATTCAATTATTAGCAATCAGTACGTATGTATAAAAAAGAAGATGTGGTATGATTGCCAATGAGACAACTCTCCACAAGAGACCAAAATGACACAGAAATTAACAACTATAGGTCACTGTACGGCCTTCAACAATGAGTAAATAGATTGTATGTGTTGTTTGTGTGGTAGTCCACATAGTTCTGACGTCTTGAAAGGCTAAAGTGACGGTACCCAAATTGTAGTCCAAATAATTATGACGTCTTGCAAGGCTATTTTTGTCGTAGGAAGGCGTCACAGAAAAAAAATAAAATAGCCTTGCAAGACGTCATAATTATTTGGACTACCCAACATGCCCAAATTGCACCTATTTTGACAGTTTTTTCACCTACGTTTTTTTATGATCCAGACAAAAGTTTCCATGCTGTGCTTATTTTGTAGATGTATCCTTGTTTACTATATAGTTACACCAATTTAATTTTGAATCCATATTGAATCATAGAAAAATGGGTCTGAACAGACCTCCAAACGATCCAGGATTCCGTAATGAGGAGTACCTAAATTGCATCCATACTTTAATTCACATCTTTAAAAAATGAATTACAGATGTTTTGTTCCATTTCTCCGAATATTTAGAACAATCTGACATTAGTCCATGCTTACTATCCATTTTATAAGAAATTGATGCTTGTAACATATTTAATTTGCTCATTTTTATAAGATGACTTTTTATGAACATGGCATGACGACGTTTCCTTAGATTTACTTTTTCCAGTGAACGCTTCATCTGTTGATATTTACTGAAAACGTTTTGTGTATATTTAAATATATTCAGCTATGTTGAAAGACGTGTTTACTGTCAAATCATAAAAATACCAAGTGTTTAGTCCCAATCAAAAATAACTTGCAAGACATGCAAGATTTCCACAGCTTTTTTAGTTGAATAGGTGCAATTTGGGTACTCAGTGCAATTTGGGTACTGTGACGTTAATATATTTATGTAAAGCGCCAAAGCCAAAAATATTAAAATCCTTTCAAGACGTGATAATTATTTGGACTATTTGTGTGGATATTGTGTGCATTTTGTGATTTGAGTTGATTTATATGCCCTTTGATTTTATAGGAATAAAGATTTTGAACTTCAATGTTTTCCATTTTCAAATCTCGATTTTAATGCTTGGCATATTCCCCCATTTGAAAAGCATTCGCTACTTTTATGTGATATCAAGTGACATGAAAATATAACAGTATTACTAATATTAAATATAGTCTGAACAGTCTGCATGGGATGCCAAGCTAACTGGTTCAGTCTATAAATATCAGCATAAAAGATAATGCTATATAATTTTAACATTTGCCTTGGCAGGGCACCTATTAACTAGAAATCGTAAGGTTGTAAAATTTTTCATTTATTCATATTGGTGAATCAAAGTGCCGTAATTTGTCACGTGTGAATAATATTATTTTTTTTTGTTTTTTTGTTTGTATTAATATCTTTTAATATATCATCAAAGACATTATAAACTTTTATTTTATTCACTTTAACTAACTAATCTTATTTTAAAATTATATTTTTCATATCGTAAATATAAAAATATCCGCTTTTTCGGTTATGTATTTAAAATTCTAATACTCATTCGATAAGTGGAGTGCTCCGATAAAACGGAAAAATATACCAGGACAGAACAGAACAGATAGTACTATTATACTCACTGACACTGTCAATCTATATAGATTCACGATTATTTTATTAAAAAGTGGGTCGAGTTGGTGAAAAATGGGTTTCAGGTAGCAAGGTAGTATTTGCATTCCAGTATTTAGGTTGCTCTTTTGTGTACCCTACCTAAGTCAATGTATCTGAACAGTGCGATTGGACAAAAAATACAGTATCAACTGAACATACTTTCCCAAACTGAGGGATGAATCAGGTGTAGAAAAATATGAAATAATTTTACATACAGATGAAAATGAATTTTTGAGATTTTTTTTTAAATTTTGTATTCACTGCACGATAAAAGACCTAAAAGCACTAGTGGCCTTAGATTTTTAAAAATAGCAAAAAAAGTAAACGGTCATGATACACATTCAAATTCATTTCTGAATAGTAAAATGAAAGTACTTCAGTTAACTGTGAATGTAGAATTTTTTGCAGTGTTAGAAAGTGGTGAAAATTCTAAAAAGGCTATCATTATCCCTTATGGGCCAGGAAATACTACCGTGCCACCTTCAGTGCGTAACAAAAATGGGTGATTTGCCAGGGATTGAGTTGTCATAGATTCAAGAGTCGTCTTATGAACTTTGGCACTCGAACCACATCTTATTTCTATTTATAAAATCAATGATATTAATTAATTAACAAACCTTCAAGCAGTTCAAAGTTCTTTGCTTTGCAATGATGCGCGACAATCTACATATTCCGTTGAAGGGCGATAATCAATTTTAAATAAATGTACCTATGGAGCACAAAGTTAACAATAGTGTTTCCTTTACTAAATGTAAGTAAGAAATAAGTAAGTATAGTAACAGGGACTTTCTATACTAGTATAGAAAGTCCCTGGTAGTAAGTAGATTTTATTGAGAGTCGGCATGATATGTATAATTTAGCACAGTAATCATGAGCTCTGTAGAGCTCTGAACCAACTAGATATTAAAAAAAAAAACCCACAAATAACAAATTATAAGCACATTTGAGATCATTTGACAGCCTGTCTACATATATACAAATAAAACATATGTATGCATAATATATATAATAGCTAAGCAAACATGCATAAATAAATGCAAGCAAGCTAAAAAGAAAAGAAAAGACATGTTTTACTTTAACTGGCACAAAGACAAAAGCTATAGCAAATAAATAAAACAAAAGCAAACAATCATGAAACAGAACACTGGCGGGCTAGAAGATTTCAGCTGTGAGACAGCAAAGTTATTGTGTACATGAGCTACAAAAGCAGTCTTCTGAAGAACACTATGTTGAAATCATGAAAATATTAAAACTGTTCCAAAGTTGTGAGGCTCCGGCCCTTACTGAAAAAATTAGCCTCCTGCAAACATTTGCTGCAAGTCTGCTGCGAACTTGCTGCAGACTTGCAGCAAACATAGAGTCTGTATTTGCGGCATGTTTGCTGCAAATACGCTGCAGGTCTGCCGCAAACAATTTACAATGCAAATGAGTGTTTGCTGCAGACCTGCTGCAAACATTAATATGCAAATGAGAGTTTGCTGCAGACCTGCTGCAAACATTAATATGCAAATGAGTGTTTGCTGCAGACCTGTTGCAAACATTTTATGCAAATTAATTTTTCTCCTGCGTGTTTGCTGCAGACCTGCTGCGTGTTTGCTGCAGACCTGCGGCAAACATTTATATTCAAATTAATCTTTCTCCTGTGTGTTTGCTGCAAACTTGCAGGAACTACATACGTTACACAATTAACCAATGTCATGTTGACTGTTGGTACACATCACATTATTAATATTACACAGCAAATTCTGAAAAAAAATATGTTACATACATACATACAATAATCCAAATACTTTATCATTTGCAAAATTATCATAGCATAAGTTAATACCTTTGAAAACTAGTTTAAAGGTTTTTATTTGTTGTTCAAGTACATTGTACATGCATGCTCAAATGAAATTGCATGCGTGAATATCTAAAATTTTATAAATTACACTAGTACTTCTATGAAGAATTTTTACTTACAAATAATGTCTTTGAAAACTAAACTTTTAATTCCAAACTTAAATGCGTCCGTGAACACTAATATATAACATGACTCAAACACCATCAACATTTTCAAATTTCAAATCTCTATCTATCAGGAAGTTACCAATAGGCATGCTCAGTCATGTTATGTAGTTCTTGCAATGTTCTTGCAAACATATAGAATTGTCAAAGATTTCTGCAATCTAGCTGCGAACATCCCTTATATTCTAGTTTTTCCTGCAACCTTACTGCAAACATTTTTGTTTCTGCAAACTTGCCGCAAGCTTGCAGCAAAAAGCTGCAATGTTTGCAGGAGGTTTGCAGCTAGCTGCAATTATCTGCAAACATTATTGAAAGGGTTCCTGCAAGCTTTTCGTTTGCAGCAGACCTGCAGCAAGTTTGCAGCAGATCTGCAGCAAACATTTCAGTTCTGTAAGGGGGCCGTGCATGGTTAGGCAGGGAGTTCCACAACTTTGCTGTCTTAAAGCTAAACTGACTCCTTTTGCCATACATTGTTGTCCTAGGTTTTGGTAAATCAAATGTGAGTTTATATCTAAATTATATGAGTTATCTTTAAAATGTATATATATATATATTGTGAAAGAACTCTGGACTGGATTTTGTCACATTTTTTAAAGTTTCTAATGCCATGGTTCTCATGGGTCTGAATTTAAGTGTTGATAGTTTAGATTGTTAGGTAATTGTCATTGTCTAAGGGTTTCTTCCAGTCCTCGATTATTCTTAGTAAAGTGGACTGACAGCCAAAACCTGCTCTAAATGCTGCAAGAAATCAATTAAATATAATTTTGAATTGTTCCGAAAGTTGCATCTCGATGGCTGCCTCCGGCAAAAAGTTTTGGATATCGAAGGAAACACACTCGCTGGTCTGTAATTACCTTTTTCAAGAGCACTGGGAGTGGGGTTTTTTATGAATCGGTGCCACCTGGGCAGTTTTAAGTGAGTCTGGGAAGACTGAGGTAGACAATGACAAATTTACAAGATCAGTCATTGGTTTCGTAACTACAGATTTGGCATAGTGAAACAATTTTGGTGATATTCCATCAATACCTGTTGCTTTCTTGATATTTATTTTATTTATTCGTTTCAAAACAAAATTTTCGTTTACTGGTTGAAAATGTAGTGCTGATGATGACAAATCTGTATGATTTTTTATAATTGCTTCATTACTTTGAAGTCTTTTTTTTTATCGACAACGTTGTCCAGCATGGCGTTATCTCCAATGTTCTTCGCTAAAGTAACAAAGAAATGGTTAAATGTCTCGCATATTTTTTCCTGGTTTGTCTCTATAGCCATGTTTTCTTGTAACATAAATTGGAGTTTTCCTTTGATGTTTTAATGAAATAATTTGCTTAAAACTTGAGTGTGTTGAGGGAAAACCATCATGGTATATTATCTGCAATTTGATGTTGTGCCATACTTTGCTAATTGAATATGCAACTCAACTAGAATCCAAAGGAAAGAAGGCGGAGCTTAGCTAACACATTCATTTTCATTTTATTCCATGGCTGAAGCTCCACCCTTTTTTTTTAAATGTATCCGCCACTGAAATATTTAGGAAACAAAAAATCGTAAAAGGTCAAGATCTTCATTTGTTTTCATTTTATAACAAAAAGCAATAAATCATGTGTACCATCTTAAGAAACCTTTTTCAAACTATATAGGATTATTACGAGTTCCCTTAATTTTGGAAAAAATACTAAAAGTTCTTCTTTCAGTTCTAAAAACAATAAAATGTAATACTACAATGTAGTACCATTTCTTTTGCAAAAATTCAATTAAATTTCGATTAAAAAAGGGGATTACCATAGAAAAAGGAATAAATATCGGCTATAAAAATTTGTGAAAAAAACATGATTCTTTTTGCGATCAGATAGGGGACGTACACTATCTACGCTCCCTGGATCCCGATCCGCCACTGTTAAGTGTTTTATTATTAAAATTGTGTTTTGATAAATAATCTAATAATCGAATTAATAAAATAACGGAAGAAAAGCAGTTCTTTCAATGAGATGAACAACCAGTAAAATATGATCAATTTGTATGATACCTTGAAAACAAAAAAAAACAAAACAATTATTACAGTCATTAGAATAATTATTTAATCCTTGTCGCTGGAATCCGACATTTTTGTTCACTTTCTGATGACATAATGAAATTACCTGCGCATACGATCATACACGGGGCGCAAAAACTAAAAAATCGAGAAAATCCGACATTTTCTTTACTTTCTGCAAATTCTGAGGCTCTATTAAATGAAATACGGGGTTGTACACTTCGTTTGTTTCATCTATGCTTCGTCTTCAGGTAATCCCGAATATAAAGACACAAAAATCCTTAGTCCCGAATTAGAAAAGCCAAAATTCCGTTTTAAAGGTCCAACCGTTCCTCAATAATGTCAAATTTGAAGACGGGATGTCCTTTCAATTTTTAAGGTTGAAGAAACATGGATAAAAACTAATCCATGCAGGTTTCATATTATTTATGTTTTGTTTATATGTAAAGATAGTGAATAAAGTTTGTGAAACGGAGAAATAACTACGCAGACAGGATTGCTTCCGAGCGATGCCCCAGTACTTGATTTGTCAGACTATTTATAGGGCTCTTTGTAGTTTTTGAATTATTTCCAATGAAGTTATTTTCAATACTCAAACTCTTAACACAAACAACATCAGTTAGTTTACTAGAATTATTCGTTCCTAACCTTCAGTATCGCTTTTCCTTTTTCTTCAAGAGCTTATTTTCAAACAGAGATCCACAATGATCACCGTTACTAGGTTAACTGGTTAAAATTGAGAAACATCACCCGTGATCACCCGTTTAGATGCTGAGTTATATTTGAGAAGAATAATTTAAAAGGAACGATGACAAGTTGTAGAAATTAAGGTTGAAACAGAACAACAAATGATTATATTTCGTATTCAATAACCATAAACAAATACAAAAAAATCAGTGTCGAAATTTTAGTTAGGCAATTGCCTCACTTGCCTCAATGGTAGTTACGGTAAGACTGCTGACTTCAGTTCTTTATTAAGTCTCCAAAACGAAGTTTGGGAAGACTTATTGTTTTTGCTCAGTTATTATTATTATTATGGCAACCTCAACGGAGTTGGGGTGACATACTGTTATTCTACGTTTCTTTTTTTTCTTATTATTTTTCTTGCACAAATTTTGTCCGCGCGAGTTCTTGGAATCCAATGGACCAATGTTGATGGAACTCTATTATAATGAGGACCCCCTTGTAAAGTTGTGCACCTTGCTATGGAATGGTAAAAAATGGCCGCCGTTTCCATGGAAATAGCAAAAATGCCAAAAAAATCAGTGTTTCACACTGGAAGAAACTCCACAGGAATGGTAACTGGCATGTGCTGATTTGCATTTTGACTTCGGAATTTTCAATATGGCTGCCGTTACCATGGAAACAGCTAAAATATCAAAAATTCTAACTCTTCCGTTATAAGACCCAACTGGATAAAACTTAATGAAAATGTTACCCAGTATGCCAAGATGCCAAGACAATATTTGGATACTCCAAAATGGCCGCCGTTGTCATGGAAACTGGGGGCAAGTTTAACATTGACCCTAAGGGAAAATGCATAAAATCAGCATTTTCTTAAAGAGTATTTCACCAAAGTCAAGGAAACTGTATTGATATATAAGGGACATGACATGTGGCAATGAAGAGTCTGC